CAATATATGTATGTACGTAAACGATAGTGTTAGCGTCAGTATTATTACGTAAACTGAAGTTTCGAGAAACTCTCCACACGCCTATAAATGTAACCTACGCAACACGCCAAAAAACAGTAGTATCTATTATTGGGTTGATGTAATTGGTGTGCTATAAACTTCGTAAGCTATAACTGTGGTTAATGCTTATTAAACTTCAGACACTTGACCACGAACGTTTATAAATTTCGAACAATACAAACCATTTAACTTCAGCCGATTCACATCGGACATTAGTACATTTACAAAAACATTATCTAACATCATCGGTGGAAACTCCACCTGTAATCAATCAGCGAGTAATCAAGGGGAACTACAGGGCCTGTTAAGTGAATTATACCTAAGTCAACTTGAAATTAACTCGCTCATCGTCAAACTTTGATAAGATATCAAGGAAGTTGCAGACTAGAAAGAAGACTTTATATTGCTTGTACATTTGTGAAACTTTTGTATATAAACCATTGTTTGTAATAACTATCTGTAATAACTGTTATTGTAAATTGTGTTATTGTTTGTGTATTAAAATATATTTGTATTAAAAAAAAAGGAAAACTGTGGGTATCAATCTTGTTGCCAAATATCATAAATTGGAGATATATCGGCATTTATTTAACTACTACATCTAAATTATAATTTAACTCAGTTTTAGGCTATTTGGAATTGTAATACGTAACAATATATACTAGTGAACATGTATATATATATGTATAAAAATAGTGAACATGTTTATATATATATATATTACACTAGTGAACATATTTATATTGTTATCATAATTCGTACATAATTTGTTGCTCCTCTGCTTCTTGCTCTCTGTAAGTTATTTGTTCTAACTTTTGTGTTTGAAGTCTGGTTTGACGTTGTTCAGAAGTTTCTTGTTGTCTATATTCAGCTTGCCTTGATGGTTCTGACTGATCTCTGTGGCTATGTGCTGTCCAACAGTTTCTTGCTGTCTTTGAGTAGCCTGTCTTTCGGTTTGAGCTCGAAGTCTAACTTTACGTTGTTCCAAAGTCTCTTCCTGTATTTGAAAGTATTTCCAAAAACAGTTTTCTTTAAATAGTGCTAAGTGGTTTTATAAGTGATTTAGTAACTTTGTGAATTGCAAATTACTGTTTAGTGATACAGGTGATTATGTCACCCAAGAAACGCCCTTTCTATGGAAAGTCTTCTGCCGCTAAAAAAATGCAAGCACAAAGAGCAGCTGAAACAGAAGAAGAACGCAACAAAGACTTCAAGCACAAGCTGCAAGACAGGCTGTTTTTTTTGTGATAAACATACAAACATAAGCGCGTTTTGCACATAGAAAGCGTTATGGCGGGAGACACTCAGATCACCTTGCTGTCAATTCGGGCGCAATAATCATTAATTGTCAATTTCGTCATTAAATACTACACCAAATACAAAATAAACAGCACCATTAAATGTATTGTAAAAACTGGTTATTATGAAGTTATTTCAAAATTTGTAAGTTCAACCGTTTGGTTTCCTATAGCGAACAAAATAAACAAACTTCCTATTATATATATATATAGTATTTAATGTTAAATCATTTCCTAAA